TTCAAGTTGGTTTTGAATTCAGAATTTTCCTTTTCTAAGATTGGTTGCCACCTCAAGAATGCAAGAGTCCAGTAAGTCATGCTATTTAATGCATATCTGGTGGTAGCGTATAGGAATGAAATGGATTCATGCCTTTCCCCAATGGTATTTATGCGAAAGTGAACGGAACGGACCTGGCCGAAATTCGAACTCGGCCGAGTCGTTAAAGGTTGCCAATGACCGATGAGAGTTTATTCAACTGGAAGTGCCAGTAATGTTTGCTACTCTTAGCTTAATACGACACAAAGCCAGACACAAATTACTCTTCTCAGTGTGAAAGCCAAAATCAAATGTTAAAAAAAATTATCGAAATTTGTGCAGGTAGATGTTCGTGGCGTGACCGTTGTGAAAAGAATTATCTAATGTTTAGATCTCGTATTTCCCGCTTTATAGAACGCAATGAATGTTTTGTGTGCGCTAATCATATTCAGCTGTTGATTCATTCATATTTATATATCGTTTTTTATATGTTAACATTATTTGAATTTGTGGCAATATGCCGCAATAGACGTTGCACGCAAATTTCGCACAAGGTTGCCAAAAGAAACAGAGAATATCAGAGGTTCGATCTGGAGTCAATCCCAGCCACCGAATGCAGAAGTACGTGACCTCACACCTGCATCTGCTATTACAAATGTCAGAACAAGAAGGTGGGACAGATGGATAGATTTGTATTACTTCAAACGTTATTTTTAATCGATACGCGTATTTGAGTAGACGTTCTGTTTTATTTTAAGCAGTATTTATTTCGTCTTCCGACCTGCACACTCGAGAAAAAACTTATGAAAGTAAATGTGCAGGATTCGAACCTGCATAGGAGAAATCACCATCTGAACCGGTGTGTTTGAATTGATCGACTCCGAAGAGGTTCATAGTCAAGCAAGGTTCTATTTGCCTTTGAAGCGAGTTCAGATTTTTTCAAGATGCATATCTGCACACTTTCATATCCGAAACGTAAACAAAGCAATTTCTAAAGAATTAATGGATTTTACTTTTTTTTTTAATCCGACATTTTTATTTCTTCAAACATTATAACCTTGCTTAATAGTGAAGCTCTTCGTAACCACAGAGTTCAAGCACGCCCGATCAGCTGGTGATTTCTCCTGCATAGGTGAACGAACGTTTGAATCTTGCCAGAGGGCACATTTTCTTTAACAAGTTTTCTCACGTGTGCAGGCCGGTAGAAGAGATAAATACTTTTTAAAAATAAAACGGAACGTCTACGTAAAGACGGGTATCCACTGAAAATAACAGCAGACAAAAAGTGCTACATGGAAATCCGAAGGCGCATAGGGATAGCCAAAGATGCATTTCAAAAGCTAAGCAGAGTATCAAGAAACAGAAAAAAATTGTTAGAAACAAAGATAAGAGTACTGAATTGTTACGTGATATCTATCCTCCTATATGGTAGTGAATGCTGAACAATCTTCTCAAAAATGAAGAAGAGAATTGAAGCAACAGAAATGTGTTTCTACAGAAGGATGCTGAGGATACCATAGGCCGAACATGTGAACAACGTCGAGAAAATGGAAACAAAAAGGAAACTTATACTTAACATTAGAAAGAAACAGCTAAAATTTCTAGGGTACATAATGAAGAAAACTGCTTGGAAAATCTGATAACAACTGGACAGATTGAAGGCAAGAGGAATAGAGGAAAAGAACGCATGACTTATTTAGAAACACTTGTCAATGTTTTTCATTGCGATATGATTTAACGTAAATAAATTTAATGGAACTCATTTCCATTTGCGAGTCTCTCTTCAAACACAACAAAAGTTACTCATTAAAAAAAACGATCATAGACGAAGAAAAATAGATCGTTTACAACAATGTGGATCGAAAAGGGACCTGGAGAAAAGAAAATAAGCTACCATTGGCCATTCTAAAAGCCGGTGTGACTTCGAGGAATATGGTGGTGAGTATCTGATAGGATCGGAAAACATTGGGTACTAGCAGTAGAGCCCGGCATTGCCCGGAGATGTAACAGTAAGAGATAGATCAAGTATCGACCATCATAAAGACTGAAAAATAAAATTGACAAAGATTATTGTTTAAGGTTGACTGACACGCATGTCTTAATTAGTTTTTTTGTTTTTATTTTTTTTTGAGGGGGAGAGGGGGGTTACGAAATGGTCAAACCCAAACTCAAACAAAAACATTGTTTTCAATCGTTATGAGTTTACCGATTGAATAGAATTTTATTATAAACAATTGTCTTGTAAATGGAATTTTTAAAGCATTCTGAATTTAAAAATAAAGAAAAAGTGTGTAAGACAATAAGAAACACTACCTACCAAAAAAAAAGTGAAGTTTTGTTGAAATCGGTTGAAAAATGTAGGAAATCCGATCCCATATATAAACGAACACACACACACAAAGAACCTGGGTTTTATTATAAGTATAACTCGATATGAGTTGTCCCCCTTTCATTCTCGCGATGACTCCTAATCCTGTTTTCATATTGATTTCGTGCAAAAACAATTGTGTTTTTCCAATTTTTGGCGCTGTCAGAGCCACCGCAAGGTAATTTTACGCAGCCCTCTGAAGTTTTGTTGAAATCGGTTGAAAAATGTAGGAAATCCGATCCAATGTATAAACGTACACACACACACACACACACACACACACACACACACACACACACACACACACATACACAATCTGCGTTTTATAATAAGTAAGATTATGAATACAGATAAATCAGTGAATTAAGGACTGTATGCGATACACGATTTCGATCCATTGATGACTAGGCAGAGGACTTTTCCCACGGTTGGTTGCCGTTTTTTTCTGCGGTAGACTGGTCGCTAACCAAGGCTATAGGGCGCAGTCTGTCCTGCTATTCAGCACATAGCTGGGAGGGAAAGAGATGGATACATACATTTTCCATGTGTATTTACGCGTAAGTGAGTGTAAAGAACTCGACGGGAATTCAAACTCGGCTATCCGATTTTTGCCGATATCCATTACATCACAAAGCACATCTAATTGGGCCAATTAAATCGAAGAAAGTCATCTGGAATTGGCCAATCAAAAAAGTGTCGTCTTCTCTTCTTCGATATTTTTAGACCCGGCAGAAATGATACAGCATGACTCGGTTTTCTTATTACATCCGCCGTACTTATCTGACACTCTACTTTTGTATTACCACTAATTTAAATCCCTACAATATTATCTCATTGAGAAGATATTAGACCAGTTCATAAGCCAGAAAGATCACAAGTTTGGGGAGGATGAAATCATGAAGTTGTTTCAAAAATAGTAAAATAGTGGAAGAAAATAGCACATAGAAAATCTAATAAAAAATATCCGGATTGTTGCTATGGTAATGAAGCTAAAATACGCAGAATGAAGCCACTTGGCACATATAGACCTTGAACTCTGTCGTGCATACACACTAAGAACGTTCTTGCTCACTTCTGTCGTTTATAGCAGTGCTTGGAAGGAAAGTGTGTAGAGTGTAGCCATCTCACCACACTACAGAGATTCCATCAGTGACCATAGCTTGTGCAACAGTTTTTGGCTAAGTGTGATACTATTTGTCGTTGCCACGGTAAAACGGAAGAACGTTTTGTTAAAGCATTAGAAAGTGTTATATGCTGAGAGACATTGAAAAGAGAAGGGTTAATACCAAAAACCCGTGGGAAGAATTGAGGATTTAAATCACTCATAAACGACTTGAATTGTATGTCAAGCAGTTTGAACAATGGAAAAGTGACCCAGACTCGGGGGCAATGTTGATTGACACACAGCTGCAAATGCAAGCTGTAAAGCGAAATTTTCATTTTTTATAAACAACGAATTTGGAGCTGATTACCCTGGTTGAAAGTTGAGTTAAAATACCAAGAGGTGACTTAGTGAGAGGGTGGAAAGAGGGAATTCCCTAAGGTTATGACGTATGTCGAGGGGGGTATACACCGAAATGCTCCTTCCTCGCCATACACCCCTTCCCGCCATGCTAATTTGGGCGAATGTCCATAAATACGAATGAGCGAAGCGAATTTAGCAGAAGATAGAAAAGAGGCAAAAGAGACGGAGACCAGACCAGAGACAGGAGAGAGGCCCACGTGATTATCTGCTGACGAAAGCCTCCGATTCAGCCTTGTGCCAAACTTTACCAAAGCAACTAAGCTTTACCATGTCAACTACGATAATATCACTTCCGATTTAGATGCGGTTTAGGCTGATAATTAATTACATGCGAACTCTGATATAAACCACTTATTGTTCGGAGGACTGATATAAAAATAGTATTTACTTTTGTTCAATTTATTCAAGTGTTATTTTTTTCCTGCACGTCATCGCCCTGCTTGGACTAGCCCAACACGAAGATACCCGCGACGATTCGATCTTGGCTGCCTTATGATCAAACTTAAATCAAAACGTGGGATAAGGTTAGCTCTGGATTGAAGCGGTCACTTCAGCCACCAGCCGCGGTGTTGGAAGTCTTGAATTGCATAAGTACAACATTGCCCAGGTTTATGAAAACCACCATATTCCCTAGATCTCGCCCCTTGCAATTTTTGCTCTTTCCAAAGATCAAATCCCACTTGAAAGGAGCCTGATTTCAAGACGTCGAGGAAATCCAAGAGAATGCGACAGGGTAACTGCTCGCTATCCCAAAAAAGGATTTCCAATAATGCTACCGTCAATGGAAACGATGCTGGATAAAGTGTGTGGCTTCAGAAAGGCACTACTTCGAAGGAGATTAAATGCCGAATTGATATGTGTTGTAGTTTTCTTTTTATAGCACCAGTCCCGATACTTTTTTTTTTTTATCAGACTTTGTATGTGGTTGAATAAATCTCTGTACGACTATCTAAATAATAGATAAATAATAGTGTCTGGAATTTATTTTAAAAAACGCTACGAACGATTGTTTCAACTCAATAGTTCCATTTTTTTCATGTTGCTATCTTTAAAATAATTTTGTCATAAGGTTATAAATACGAAAATGCTTACAGCTATATCACGTTGAAGCACCTGTTCCCGTACGATCACTGAAGTTAAGCAACGTCGAGTCTGGTCAGTACCTAGGTGGGTGACTCCTTGGGAATATCAGGTACTGTAAGCTTGGATGTGCGAGTGGTGTAGTGGATAATGACTCGGAATTGTTAATCAGAGAGCCGAGTTCCAATTCCCGTTGGGTTAGTTATATTCATTTATGTGCAGATACCTTTGGGAAAGGCATGAATCCACCTCTTCTCCCACCAGCTATGGGTTAATTAGTAAGACTTAGTAACACTAAATCATTATTATCTCTAAAAATAAAATTCTTACTTATAAAAAGAAATTCTTACATGCAAAAAAATATTCTTACAATCTGGTTTTGAATAACCTGCAAAGGGTTGATAATCCGTAAAAAAACGAATAAATCAATCAATCATATACAAATAAGAAACATCCAAAGAGGGTGGTGCTGAAGCTTTCCAATCACGATAGATTTATAATTTTCTGCTATGATTGTAAACATATAAATGCATGAACACACAGACATATGGCTCACATAGTTTTGAAATTTCATTTAACTTAGTTCTATTTTTTTTTCTTTATTTCTTGTTTTTGCTGTCTTTTTATCATGTTTGGTATTTTTTTTCTATTTCTTTGATTCTTTTGTTAGAATTCCAATGCACCTCTTGTACATACTAACGTTTCCTGTTATTTTTGTTTCGGTTTATTTTCCATTTTCGCAACCCGCACTCTTCGTTTGAGAAAATGTTTTTAATGTTTCTTCGTGATGGCGTAAAATGAAATAAAAACAACGTTTTTCATCTCATAGAATTTTCTGACACCTAATTAATCAACTCAGTTCGATGCTTTCTTGCATGAAAATATCAAAAAGGTTTTGATGCCTGAAATCAAACAAGTTGAAATAAAATTATTATTTCCTCACATTATTTTTAAGATTTTTTTTTTTAACGAAAACTTGGAAACTAATTCTTCCTTGGTCGAGAATTTACGAGATTTGATTTCGCTCAAATATTTAAGACTTTAAAAAGGAAAAATGATTTGCAAGGTAGCCTCACAGACCATTATTGATACAATGAAATCGATCCTCACTGGCTTCCCTATGCATTCTTCTCCGGAAGAGGTTTATTCCTTGCTTCATATTTAGAATTGTTTCTCTGGTTCCTTGTCGTTTCGTTCACTGTCACTCCCAGTAGACCTCGCGTCTTAGTGGCATTACCGGTGAATACTTTGGGGTGAAATGATAAAAAAAAAAGACATGTATCCTTAGTAGAAATATCTCTATCTCTATGTATCTTTTGGGTCTTTCTATCTATCTATCTGTCTCTATCTATCTATCTATTTGTCTTTCTATCTATCTATCTATCTATCTATCTATCTATCTTTCTATCTATCTATCGCTATCTATCTATTTGTCTTTCTATCTATCTGTCTTTCTATCTTTCTATCTATCTTTTTTTCTTTCTATCTATCTATTTGTCTTTCTATCTGTCTCTATCCATCTATCTATCTATGTCTTTCTATTTGTCTATCTATCTATCTATTTGTCTTTCTATTTGTCTCAATCTATCTATCTATTTTTGTGAACATCTCTTTGTTTATGTCTTTCATTACACCTTTCTGTTTGCCTATCTCTCTTCCTCTCTCTCATTATATATATATATATATATATATATATATATATATATATATATATATAGATAGATAGATAGATAGATAGATAGATAGATAGAGAGAGAGAGAGAGAGAGAGAAAGAGAGAGAGAGAGATTCTTAATAAAAAATCGGTCCTGATCTGCCAACTCTGCCTCAGTCACTTTCCCACTGCCGTAACATAGATTCACTGCGCCTTTTTTCTATAAATATTTTCATGATAATCGTTTTAACGAGCTTTACTCTCTGGTATCAAGACTTTATGAATTTAAGCATATTACTAAATTGGTAGCAAGGTCTCATCATTTTACAGCTCCCCCAGATGTCGCCATTTTGTTTTCTTTCCTTCAAGCACGTTTCACTCCAGTGGCAAGCCTCCGTTTCTTCTCTCCTTGCTCCAGCCCTCGGAGTAAATCGCGTCTCCAGCGTGAGCAGTCGTTGCCGACGTCCATATTCATCGCCCTCATGCCACTTTTGCAGACACCCTTAAAGCGAAAATGAGATCGCCCTCGTGCCCTCTTTCTGGTGGCCAGTTCCACATATAGGAGGACATTTAGAATCCTCCTATCAGTAGACTGTTACGTCCCGTGTTTTGTCGTTGCGGTGAGGGGACGCTGGAGTGTCTTCTCCAGGGCGCAAGCCTGGGCAGAATTTTCCGAGAAATCAGCGGTTACCCATGAAGCACGTCTCCGCTCTCCACGCCAGCAATGTTGTCCAAGGTATAGAGTCCAATACAGATTATAGATGTGATAAAATTATAGTTTTAAGATGATCCGATATTTATTGTTTAAAGTGCTCAATATCAGGGATAGAGTTTATGTAAAAGTAAACATTGAGATCAACACCCAGCGACGACAGTCTGTTTTGTGCAATAAAGTTTGCGCTTAAACATAAAATAGGCCGTCGCCACTATTCGTTGATCTCAATGCTCACTTTATACATACATACATACATACATACATATATATATATATATATATATATATATATATATACACACGTGCTAATACCCTTGGGAAAGGTATGAATCATCTTCTTCTCCCTCCAGCTATGGGTAAATAGCAGGACAAACTGGGTTCTATAGCCTTGGATGGCAACTGGTTTAGGAGAAGGACAACTCTGAATTCAAAACCTGCGGAGGGTCGTTTGGGGACCTTGTGGCACTTAGTGCACCAGGTCTCTGTATTCGGCCCTTCAAAAAGTGTGGATGGTCCTGCACGAAACCTTCACCACTATAATCAAATCTCATGTGCTGTTGTTGGGCTGTCAGTTTCCTGCGAACTGATCTGCTTGACCCTCATACGTCGAACTCGACGGAGATTCGACTATATATATATATATATATATATATATATATATATATATATATATATAGAGAGAGAGAGAGAGAGAGAGAGAGAGAGATAGAGATAGATAGATATGTACTCATGCGTACATACGAGTAAACAGTTGCCTACTCATGCAAACTATTCTGGAATGGCGGTGCAAGACAAAATAAAGCAATTCGATAAATTAAAACGCATAATTTAGTAATCATTTGAAAGATGGTTATCGGTAAATTCAAATTTCAGTCGAAACCCTTTGTTTTTTCGCAAATCCACTTGGAAAATTATGAATCGCTCTCTTCCTCCACCCCCCTAGCTAAGACAAGACAAGGCTCTGTAACCTTGGCAGAAAACCAGTCTACGAGAAGGCCACACATAAATTCAAAACCACTTCGGCGAGAGGACTCAACTGCATCCCGAAAAAAAATGTTGCTACGGAAACCACACCAACATCGCTTAGCGTAGTGATGCTAAGAGTCTACAGTAGATTGATATAGTATAGATAATATGAATGTTACACTTCCTACAGTAAAGAAAACATACAATTCATTTCTATGAAAGCAAAATCAACTTGAGAAATTCTCGTATTATTTTTTGAATAATTTTTAATTTAATAAGAAAAGAAAAGGAAAAATTTGCATTCATTAACGTTCCATTTAAAACCTGTTTTAAATGTAGGTCAGTCATTTTATTGAAGCTGTAACAAAAATTAAACATACCAAGCTTTAAAATTGTGTTATTTATAATTTTACTCATGAGGTAATGGAAATTTCCGGCCAGATTATCGATGAATATGAAAATGAACATCTTGAAGTTTTTTGATTTTTTTTTTTTTTTTTTTTGGTAGTGGGTATCGAAATTTAAGAGAACAGATGTTGCAGCTCAAGTGCTTTGTTGGTAATATCCTGTACAGAATTGACTGGTTGGATGAAGATACTAATTTCAAATTAAAAGAGCGAATGAACAAGATGCTAATAAGCGACAGCAGGTATTCTAATTTTTTTTTTTTTTTTTCTTTGAGGAGCCTCGTTTTTGCTTTTTTTTTTTTTTTTGAGGAGCCTCGTTTTTGTTTTTGTTGAGAAGCCTCGTTTTTATTTTTCCAATTTCGATTGAAAAGCATCTGCCTGAGTTTCTCGGCACTCCCTACCATCGTTAGTCATTTTTATTTTCGATTCTAATTTTCTTGCAACTATGGAACATAGAACGAAAATACTGAAGGCTACGCAAATCTTATTCATTATTGATCTACACTGCACACAATTTGCAATTTTGGCAAAATGACTGACAACATATTTAGAAACGAGAAGCCATTCAACAAACTCTCTCACTCTCTCTTTTCTTCTTCTTGGCTTACGGCCATATCACGTTGAAACATTGGTTCTCGTACGATCACCGAAATTAAGCAACGACCAGCCTGATCAATATCTGGAATGACAGTTGCTGATGGATAATTGCTCGGAATTAGAAATCGAAGAAGCCGAGTTCTAATTCCCCGCAAATAACATTAGGGAAGGCATGAATCCACCTCTTCTCCCTCCCAGCTATGGGTTAATTATTAGGACTTTTACCAGTAAATCATTATTATCTCCAATACAAAAATATTTTCTGGCTTGATTTTCTGGCAAATCACTCAATTCATCAGCATCATCACCGTCATCTTCAATCACTCATTTTCTCATTTTTTTTTCCTTCTCTCTATTGATTTTCACTTACGCACCTGCTGAGGCACGCGTACACTCACACACATACGCATACACGCATGTCTTCATGTAATATTGTAGCTGTGCGCAAATTATATATATATATATATATATATATATATATATATATATATATATAGTGAACATAAAGTCAACATTAGATGCAACAGTCTGTTTCATGCTAGATGCAATCCTCAGGCCATTAAGTGCTACTAAATTTCTCGGAAAAATAGCAACACTCTATAAATATTGCATCTAGCATGAAACAGACTGTCGCCTCTAAGTGTTGACTTCTATGTTCACTTTTATATTTACACACGCTCTATCTCTGATATTGGGCACTTTATCCCATAAATATAGCACATCTTAAGACTATATTTCTTCATATATATATATATATATATATATATCCTAAAACACTGACCAT